CAGATGACAAAGTTCAAGAATTTGTAATTCAATGACGACGAATAAAGAAATGAAGTACTAACAAGTTAAAACTCTAATGAATAAAACATCTAACACGGCGATTTTGACCTCAAGTTCCATTGGAGTTCCCACAGTCATTCAAAAGTACTTGTCATTACTTATAATATCGTCGTATAGTAGAACTTAATGTTATACTCTAGGTCCTATTTTATCAATGAAGAGCTCTATGGCGCAAGTGATTAGCGCGTTCGGCTACGATTGTTGAAGCTAAGCAACTCTCGCAGTGGTCGGCCATTGGATGGGTGACAAAATTAACCATCTCGAGCTCCTCCGTGCTTCGGAAGGCACGTCAAGCCATTGGTCCCTGCTGAATCTGCGGTTGTTAGCACCCACCAATCCATACTGGGTTATGACCCAATCTCTCTATTCCATCCATAGGGAAGCAGTGTGAAGATTATTAGGCTGATGATGATAATGATTTCACTAAATCAACATATGTTTATATAGTACGGCATGAACAGGCAAACAAGAATTTTGTTGTAATTGTCAATTGACCGTATCTTATTTCAACGACAATTTTGTTTTGTAACATCAAACAATAATCATTAGATAAAGGTAATTTTTTTGACATAATTTTTTGTCAAATTGTCAGTAATTCTTGACATGAAATCTCAGCTGTGTATGATTTGTAATACAATTGTAGTGTTTTCGTTGTTAGTTTCAAAATAGCTCTCCGCGAAAGCTTGAAAAGATGAGTTCTTATACTGGAGATTTTATAAAGAACAAATAAATTTCTCCTGTGATATCACTGATTTTGCGTTAAAGAAACATTTAGATATACTTAACACCACCAGAAAAAATGATATAAAGCCGATATATGTCGGCTCAATGAAATAGGGGAATGGTATAAAAATATACTTAAATATGTATCAGTATATGTATTCTATCCGTTTCCCTAGTATCCTATAACACAAGCCTTCCTTACAGTGATTGACATTATTCTGTCATTTGATTATCACCCGTCGACCGTTTTGGTCTGAAGCCGTATTGACGATCCATTTATCAGAGAGGGTCTTTAACAACGATATGGTCTTAAGATTGTTATGTAACTAATACTAATAGTGTAAGATCCCAGGCCCGCCGGAGCTTATTTATCTTCTGATGGCCAAAATATGGATAATCGAGTAATATTGGTGTGTACTTGTGCTGTAGCCCAATTCCTAGGTATAAGTGGCAAAGGTACGGTGATCTTGGACTATAGCTGTCCTACAAAGCGTTTGAGACACGTTATATTGAAGAAATACCTATTTGACTTTCAGGTTCACCTGTTTCGACGATACAATAAAACTATCACTCATTGTTGGCCCAAAACAGAAAATAGATTCACCGAATGTATGAATAACTTTTCTTTCAATCAAATTTTTGAACTTATGGAGGTTTACTGAATGAGAAAAAGGATTTACCCTAAAAAATCATGGGTCGTACCAGGAAATCTCTATACGATCTGTCAAAATGATGATTCTGTACAACGTTTAGACTGCTATAGCTATATTTGACAAGATAATGATATAAAAAGGTGATGATAATTAAATTATTAACATAATCTTAGAGGTAGTGTTACGTAAACAACCGAGTAAGTGGGGTAAATAAAAAATAGACTCCGATTATAACTCCATTTATTGGTATAAATTAGTTTAGTGACGTTATGGTAAGTTTAAGTTAAGTTAAATTTAAGTTACGTTCAGTTAATTAAGTTTAAGTTAGATTAACAAAATGGAGTTTAATTAGCCGCTGCGCTGGCTGTAGCCGCACGGTCACGCATATAAAACGTCGTTACAATTAATAAAATAGGTAAAAATCAGGTCGTGGCGCATTTGGTCGATAATTCTTTGGTATTTAAAAGTTTATTTAATTTTATTTATTTATTTTTTATTTATTTATTTGTATCACATTGCTCATGCACATTATTTATTATAAGGTCTTACATACTTAATAGTGATTGGTACATGACCCCGTTGGGGTGTTGCAACAAACTTGAGCTTAACATTAAATACATTAATTTCACATAATTGTTGATCCTATTAAATCACATCAGTTCCAACCAAATTTAAACAAAATCAATCCATTTTAAAAATTAATCAAGTCAATTTATATCATATCATGTCATCATGATATGATATGATATAAATTTTATACCTCTTTTATATTTTTTTGGTGGAACCTCACATGGAGTGAAGGTCTAGCGAAGAGCTTATTATAGAAATGATCCTATGAAGTAAGGTCTTCTACATCTAGCAATAAATGAAGTAAATGCGTAAACAAGTCACTACTTGTCACTCTCAAGAAAGCGCGCGAAATCGAACCAAACTCCGGTCAAAATTCGGCCGAACTTTTCATTTTAACCGAATGTTCGTCCGAAATTTGGATTCGGTTCAAACCACATTCGGCCTATCTCTAATTAAAATTCAAGAAAATCGTAATGTTGTTCAGAAATTTCATGATTCCTATTTTTGTTTTAAGGCGAGATCAGCCAGTTATTTCTTTATGTATTTTTTTGTAAATCGAAATATGGTAACTCATAAATTTTGTTACTTTCATTTAAGAAGTATTAAATTGCCTATTAATTAGAATTTATTTCATTAAGCTAGCATTCTTAGTTTGTGAGATTTTTAGGATTCTTTAAGTGACCCGGATTCATGGCTTCGAGTGTATAATGATGAAATTAAATAGATACCTGTCGGAGGCGTTGAAGACAGCAAGGTAATAGTGTTTATGGATGGTTTATAGTCCCATAGTAATATCTGTAATTAAATGGTGTGGTAAGTAACACATTTCTACAAGACTAATTGATATTGGGATCTAATCATTTTCAACGAACACAACCTTCGAAGAATTTGGATAACTGAAGTTAATTTAATTTTTCATTTCATGAATTGTTTTACTGGATAATGATTCCTGAAGGGAACAAATAAATCTTTATGCATAATTAACTAATTCTCAAAGAAATATAATTCCTTAATAATTTTGTAAGGATTGATAAAAATCTTGACAAAGAGGTTAATATGTTATCAAGTAATTCATGATTTTCACATGTGATTACTAGAAAATAATGGATATTCTGCTTTGAACTGTTAATATTGTTAAAAGAAAACTATAGTAATTGCTTTCCAATCATTTAAAAGGCATGAAGGTCGCTGCATAAGAAGCATAAAATAATTATAAATTCATGTAAATGGGGGTCCCTTCTGTTCCGCCTGTAATTAACGAGCTGTATTAGGAATCCACGAAATGAAATCACTCTTTAACGATTGAAAAGTATTAAATAATTTAACAAAAAACGCGGAATGTGAGACACACTTTTAATTGAGATTGTAAAAGACTTTTTTTCTCCAAATCTTTAATGGCCTTGGCATACTACAAAATAAAATAATGGCGTAAGTAATGCCGGTAAAAGATGTGTCAGTGAAGGATGCGCCGGAAAAAGACGTGCCGGTGAAAGATGTAGGACGGAGGCTTTTTGTCCTTTTCTAACTGCATAATAAATTTATTATTTTTGCAGTTCAACAAAAAATTGGGGCTTTTTTTACTACTACTCAAGTAGTAAAAAAAGTTTTACAATACGTGTTTAAATTGCAGGTTCTTGTAACGAGAGAAATAACATTCATATTTTCAAATTATTAATAGAAATTTTCAATTAATGTATAGCTGTATGTAAAAAAAAGATTTTCGTACCCCTTCTAAGAACTTACGAAGAGGTGTAAGATTTTAATAGTTTAATAATGAAGAACAGCTCAAAGCTAATATTGTTTTACAATAATGTATTATTAGGAAAAAATTGAAATAACAAAATAAAAATGACACAAAGTACCGTAATCGCTTAATCAGAATATAATATAATATATTTATTTGAAATGTTGCATGACGTCACTTTTTGGTTGATTGACAAAAGAAAAAATACGAGTCCATTATTTTTTGACAATCTAACTGACGGACCAAATAGATTTTCGTTTACTTTATCCCGTCATCACCTCTATTAACTTCTCTTAGACTGAAATAACATACAACGATTAAATAAGTATATTATGTAACAAAGAATTTAATAGGTCGAATTTCGATACCGCTACCTATATAACTAAAAAATAGTAAAATAGCTTTGCGTTAATACTGATTAGAATATTAGTTCAATTATACTATCAAATTTATGTAAAGTGATCAAAAAGAATTCAATTAATTGACATCTGACAATTTTGAGTCGTGGACACATTGAGTTTTTGTAAAGAATGGTATTCTTTAAAACATTCGAAAAACTTATAATGATTTATCTTTCAGCAATCTTAAAAAAATGTCTTTTTACTATCAATACTATAAGTAGTTTTATCTTTTTACAGAATAGAAAAATGTACATATAATACACCTAATTAATTATGGTAACCAGAAACTTACAGCCTATCCAAACTTGTCTATTTATTGTACATTTATAGGTAATAAAAAATAAGTTTGTTACGAATGAGATAGAATTCATGAATAACTATATAGTAGTATAATAAATATTATAGTCATTATTAGTAACTACTTTATTTAGTTAATCGTGCATTTGCTGTATAAAAAATAATAATATTATAAATCAAAATTAATAAAAAGAACTACCGAAAGGCATGTACACACATAAACTTCTTGAAGACTGCATCAAATTGAATTATTCAATTTACATTGTTATTTTTTTTTATTATTTGGTCCGACAAATGACTCCACCCATCTGATGGTATGTGACGATGGAGTCCAGCAGTTCTACTTTTTGTCAGGTCCATGATTTATACAAGATTTTTATGAATCGAACACAAAAAAATATAACAGTACGAAACATCGTACCGCCATATTTTTTTTGTTCGCGGGTTCAGCTAGTTTTAAATAAAAGTCGTACTCGGTGTATCCGCAGGCTTACATCACTAATTACTATTTATATAGTAAAAAGTTCAACGTCACTGGTTAGTCTTTCCTAGGTGCGACAGGCACTATTAGGAACAATGGCACCATCTCCTCAAGAAATGACGGGTGAAAACCAACCAACGACCCCGGTCTCAAGGCCATTGTCCGGGGATGAAGTTGTCATCACAGGGATGTCCGGAATTTTTCCCAAATCCAACAGTGTTATGGAATTCATGGAAAATTTGTACAACAAGGTAATATAATTAGTTGACAGTAAAACAAATATAAAGAAGTGTCTTATAAAAATATCTTTAATGTAATAATGTAAAGATTTTTTTTTTAATCATGGTAATCATAGTAGTAAAGATTAATTTGGAAATGGCATATTGATAAAAATACATGTCAGATTTTTTCGAATAAAATTAGACATTGAAATTAGGTTCTTTTAAAACTATTAAAAATCGTGTATAATTTAAATTTACATGATACCACTACATAAATATAATTAATGTTATAGTGTATAATTTTTATTTAAAATTTATTCAAAATCGAATTCAATTAAAATATTGTCATAGTCGGACCACATGGCAGTATTGATTATAATGACTCCGTAAAAAATAGAGTTAATTATTCAAAAGGATTTTAAACATACCAATCAGCTATGGTAAACTTCAAATCTTACTTGTGCATAATGTTAGCTTAATTCTGATAAAAAATATACACCGTAAATTTTGAGTTACCTGAGTAACTTTAATAGCTAATTCAGACTACTATTTAGGTTATATTTCCGTAAAAAAAATCTTTTGTTAATATGTAAGATAACTGCAATTGTCATAAATTGTAAATTGTTTCAAATAAAACTATTTATAGGATCTCCGTACTTTAAAAGGATAATAATTCCATAATAAGTAGGTATTGCACCATTTTAGGATATTTTGTAAACGATATAAATCAATATTTTTGTATGGGGGTCGTCGTTTACTAACTATACATGGTAAAATGGGTGGTTTCAGTACGAACTATTATTAGCTTCACGATCTTTATGTTTCTCAGGTAAATCAAAATTCACGGTGTAAATATTTATTAAGAGTAATTTTATCGAAATTAATAAAATAGCAAAAATAAAGTCGACAGCGATAAATCACTAAGAGCGTTGTTACATTATCTTGTTTCTCCAAAAAGGTTGACATGGTGTCTAGCGAAGACCCGCGCTGGATATTCAACCATCCGGAGGTACCTACTCACTTGGGCAAAGTGAATGGTATGAAGAAGTTCGACGCCCAATTCTTCAGGGTGCATTACAAGCAGGCATGCACTATGGAGCCGATGAGCAGGAAACTGTTAGAGCATGCTTATAGTGCTATATATGATTCGGGTGAGTGAACTAGAAGTATCGTTAACGGTAGGTAATTATAGGTAGAGGAAAGTAACTTAACATAAAATGGCATCCCTAAAATAGAATTCCGCCATTAATTGGAAACCTATACTCCTAGTTGCAATTGACGACTTTTCCTCCCAGGCGGGGGAGAGGGTGAGAAATCCTCATGGATACCCTACAGCCGGCTGTAAGGTTATGTCAGACTCTTACTGACTAAAAAACACCCTTTATTCATGCTTCCGTGGCCAAGTGGTTTGTACGCCGGGTTTCATGGTGTTGCCGTCTCGAGAGGTCCCAATCCCGGGTTAAAATCCCGATAGGGGCAGAGGTTTGAGTGACGAATACGAGCATTTTGTATTCCAGTCATGGATGTTTAATATGTATTTCTATATAAATATACTTAATACGTACGGTATGTGTATACTATCTGTTACCCTAGTATCCCAAAACACAAGCCCATTACAGTGCTTACTTTGGGGGTAGGCTAATTGGTGTGTGTTTTAAAATTAACTTCTTTCTCTTTACATTAGTAGACTCGCATACAGTTTTGATTTCTCAATCAGGCGACTGTTGTGGTCGCGGTGAGAGTATTATGTTTTGGCGCTGTGAGAAAAGTTTTATTATAAACTAAGTATTTCTCAAAAGTAATTGGAAACAGTATTGTATATTATGACTATGCATTGATTATATGTTTGTTTGATTGTGTTTAGATCAAAAAATCTGATATACGTTTTGATTACTTTGAAAGTTCCAAATATGGGCTTCGTGAGATCCTAATCTGGAACAAAGACAATGAGCTAGATGCCGTCATAGGACAGAATGTTCATGACTCAGAAGATGATGAGTGTATCTTCTGTAACAGTCTGTTTTCTCGAGATAGTCGAGAAGAAAATGTCTCATGTGTGGGCTCTGACCACATGGTAATTGCGCAGGTGCAGAGATCGACACCTTTTTTTTTGTGATGCAGGCACAACCTCTGTTTACATACAACGGCACCTTTAAGAGGCATACCGCCGAACGGACCTCACACCTGGCTCCTGCAAGCTTTACGGATCCCCGCAGTGGCTGCCCACTGAGGACCCCGTAACTCTTACGGGCGCTATACGGCATTATATCCGCTAAAAACCCTGCGAATACATTCTCGCTGCATAGTGCGAAGTCACGGGATCCCCGTTTAGGGATTCTGCGGTTCCGCATCAGCAACCTCCCAGCCTAGCCGGGGCTCCAAAGCAGGGTTCTCCTGGGGCATCGTGGGGACCCCGCAGACGTGCGCAGGATGGCCCGCGCGTGGGGGCCCCGCGCGTGGGGGCTGAGTACGCGGCCTAGTGCCCACCGTACCGCCCCCCGTCCGTTGCGGAGGGCTACTTGGACGTGCCCGTGTTGCTCCCTCCGCTGCCCCCCTCTTTGCAGTACAGAACTACAAGAGGGGGGATGCCGTCACGGGATCCGTCGGTGGCCGGCTAGGGATCCCCGCGGGCAGGGTCATGGGATGTGCGCAGCCAGGGCGCGCAATCGTCCTCTCCTGCCCGCAAAGAGTTCGACACCTGGATAATAATATGTGATTTTACAAGTAACGTACAGAAACTTTAGTCAGTTTTAAAATGGTACTCAACCTATATAAACTGATCAAAGTTCCTGTAGGATCTCATAAAAGTAAAGAATTTTTATGCATAGTTTTAAAGTAATCTTATAATATAATAATATTTGAGTAGGTAGATACCTATTCCACAAATAGCTGCCTTTACCTATGTTGATTTTGTATTTGAGAAAACTTTTTTTATTTTAAATTAATATATTATGTGAATCAAGACTGTCAATAAGTTAAGCGCAACTGTTTAACTGATGATAATAAATAAGAATAAAACTTTTTGATTTTCAGTATATATTTTTTTATAATCCAAAAACAAAATGGTATTCCATATTTGGTTACTTTCTTCTACTCAAATTAAGCAAATTACCCTTTCGTATCTGATTTCAAGTATGAATAGCAGCGACGAGCTCGATGACGCAAACAGTTGGCGCATTCGGCCTGCGATCGTTAAAGTTAAGCAACTTTCGCAATGGTCGGTCATCAGATGGGTGACCAAAAACTTATTAGTTACCTGTTGCAAGATATCTTTAAGTAATAGCTAATCTTCGCTGGAGCTGAATAGGATTCCAAAATTTCGTTTCCTGTCTTGTTATTGATGGCCTAATCAATCTCAATAATATTTCAAAATTACTTTTTGACATTCTAGTGAAGTTATGAAAAGTCCCATCAAATCCATGAAGGTCATCAAATACATATCTTCTATTTAAAACCACCACTTTTTCCTTTTTTTTCTGTAGTACTCTCATGAATTACTACGTAAGTACGCCAGAGCAACACTACCTCCTCGGGCAACATCCTAGCAAGAACTGACTAGTGTGGACAGCAAAGTTTCAGAAACAGTGTTTACGATAAACTTGTTTATAAACAAGGTGATGAACCTCATAAACCGTTTATCAACAAATGTTGCGGTAAAATAAAATCATTGGAATAAGAAAAACATCGCGTTTTCTTTAAACTTAATATTTGATACAACGACATTACCGTTCACTTTACTTAAGAATTCTCTTCGTGTTTGCCGAGAAAACTTTTTTCAGAAAAGTTTAATTTGAATTCTCGTACAGTCCACCAGTCGTACGGGTAGAGTAAAGGGTGAAGTCGAAAATATGAATTGCCAGTACAAATTGGTAATTTCCGAGCTGTTCGTATCAGAACCTAGCTATGTGCATGATGATGAGATTACTCAGTTGAATTTTTCAAGTCACTTTTTTAATTTCGTTGTAATGCAGTTTTCTTTATTTATGATACTGACGGTTCAAGGACGTCTTTTGACAAAGAGAGCCTGGCTACCCTTGTCTAAAGATATTTTCCTAAGCATTATAAATTCAGTCTAGAATACTGGTATATTTATAATTATGGTTAATCAATTCTTATTGAACTGGCGCTTATTCTGAAAAAACTTTGAGAATGAAATTACAATTTGAAGACGGAATAAAATTGTTATAGGTATCAACCCATTACAGTTGAGAGGTAAAAAAGTTGGTGTTTTTATCGGGGCGACATATTCTGAATCGGAAAAGAATGTCATTTACGAAACCATACAACGCAACGGGTTTGGCATAACTGGGTAAGTTGTTTCATTTGCTCCTTATCAATCTTTAGGCCTGACGATGTCATGCGCATATTACGTTTCCGCCACGCGCGTCGGTACGCTGGTCGCTGCGGGTCATCCGACAGGCATTGCTCCATTCCCCGTAGCATGAGCACCCCGATTTACATTATATCACGTTATTTATCGCGCCTAACTGTCAAACTCCATAGTAATTTGACAACTGAGCGTGATAAAAACGAGCTTTATATCATTTCGCGGTGATCATGCTCGGGGGGCACGGTTACATACAGGCGATATGGCGTCAAAGACACTTGACTCTAGGGCTGGCGCCACACTAACAGGAAATAATATTAATTATAGCGATGATGGGCGTTTAAGGAACAGTACACGCTCGCGCGCAAAAGTGTAAGTGAATAATTTTAATCATTAAACTTGCTTTACATTGACTCAGCTTCTCCAGCCAGATACGGAACAATAAAACCACTTAAGTCTCATTTACTTTATTGCTGCAAAGTATGAAAAAATAAAAATTCTTTGTATATAAAAAAAAGTCATCTCTCCCTTACCTGGCTTATTACCGTTTTAATAAACGGTCGAAATTGCCAAGTGGTCGGCCCTTTCTCATAATTATTCCTTTATTAGTTCTGCTCGTGCCACCTGCGTCTGACAGCTAAGGGCATCATTTTTATGCCATTATTCGAAAAAATGATACTCTTACTAGTAGGTAAAAATATGAGTATTATTATTATTATTATTAGTAGTATACTCATATTTTTACTGAGACGACTGGTCAGCTGGTGTCTAAATAATGTCTATACTTTTTTAAATGTTTATTTTCGGGGATTACAAATTTAACACGCTTCGCCCCCAATAATAAATGATAAAAAGCTACATTACCGATAAACTCATCCGCCCATGGTTAGAAATCATTATATTTAAAAAAAATGACTAGCTAGTCTTTAATATGAATTTTACTTTTTCAGCGCTTACTATAGCAGCTATATAATGGAGCAGTTCTGAAAAATATTGATGCTTTTGGATATAGTATTTTTGGCTAAACGTTGACTGCTCAGTCAGCCAGGTTATCTTTACATTTATAAAGATAGATAGATGAATAAACAGAACCCTCTGACTGACCCACGAACTTATTATTAAATTCGAAATTGAGCTCTATATTCAATTACGCGCGATTTACCGTTTCGTATAACTAAATTTAGACACCCTAAGCAGAGTCCTTGAATTTAATTTCTAAAACTCATCTCAATAGCCCGCTGGCGTATTTCATAACATAATTCAGTCATACAGTTTATTCCAATAATTACTGTGTATGATTGATATAGGTATGGATTAGCTCAATCTACATAAATCTCGTATTTGTTATCGAACTGCTCCAAAACGGCTTCGTTCACTGATTTTATGTTTTTTCTTTGGTAGGTATGATAAAAGTTAGTACCAAATCATAAAAAAACACTTATTGTTTTGGACAACAAGTGTTTTTGTTTATGATTTGGTATCAAAAAATATTTATAGTCCCTTCTACCACCAACCCATATTTACTTAAATGGCGGTACAAAGTTCGCTGAATAAGAATGCACAAATTATTTCTTTTTTTCCTTCCACTGCGAAGGTAGGTACTAATCAGGATCTCCGAAATTTATAAAGACAGCCCACCTTATGTTGGAGTTCATAGCGGTGGCAATAATTTATTCCCAACATCCCAAGATTTACGGCAACAGAAATACATTACCTCTTTATCACGTGTACTAATGATGAAGGTGTGGTTACAATGACAAATGAGTTACCAAATTAAAGATGTTCCTCTCTAGGAAGTGTTAACGCACGCGAGAAAAAAATATTTTAAGAGGGTGTTTCTACTTCAGTCTCGTTAAACAAAACAAAAACAACTGTATTGTTTTTTTTTTATATGTAACATACACACTACAAAAAAGAACCGATTGGTGGTTTTCTACTACACCTGGGTAAGATTAATTATGTATAAATCTGCCAATGAAAACGAAACTGGATACGGGAATATGGTAGTATAAAACGTTCCCTTACCTTGAGAAGGCGATGACTTCAGCTCACCGCTCGTGGGTTTACGAGTGGTTAACACAGCAGCCCGGAATTGCGATGGAACCGTACGGAAGACCTCGCCACACGATTAAGTCGCAACGCTATGATAATATTGCTGCGGCAAACGTTTTTTCTATGACTTGAGTGAATTCACAACTGTCAATTTTGCATTCGAGCCTCCCTTAAAAGCAGTGAATGTAGAAAATAACTTTCACGATTGCCCGTAACTCATATCGCATACGAGCATATATATGGTAGGAAGTGCTTAGCAACCCACATTCAAGGGTGCATTTCATTTTATTTAAATTTACCCATATAGTGGTCTCGATTTCACATGTTAATAAAACGATGCGATGTTAAATGATTGTTTTATAAGTAAAATTACTAATTAGAAATATGATGACTAAAGACAGTATTTGATTGCTCATTAGTAATTAAATTTATTTTGTCGTTTTGGATTGAAGATTAATTAATTTAAAAAAAAGTTTTAGTAATCTATAAACCTATATAAAAATCAATTGCTGTTCGTTAGTCACGCTAAAACTCGAGAACGGCTGAACGGATTTATCCTATCCTGGTCTTGAAATGTTCGTGGGGGTCTAGGGAAGGTTTAAAAGATGAGAAAATATGGAAAAATTGCGATTAAAATAGTAAAAACGTCAATTTAATTTTCCCATATAAACTGTTCTATCTTCTTTGCTGTCAAACATTTGACGTTCGTCCCTTTGGTACGGTAGACTCGGGCCCGTCATTTCTTTCCAAATTATTTTAACCCGTACGAAGTACGCGGCGTCAACTATTGCTTAATTTTTTTTAAATAAAATAATTAAAATTGGGTTAACAACGTTTTCGTTCAAATAATAGCGATTAACTTTATAACCGAGATGATAATGATGAATATCCCGCATGAAACAAAATTTTGCGATCTTTTTAAACTTGTTGCGTGCATAATCATTATATTATCTAAAATTTTCTTTTTAATCCCTAATATCTATTTATTATTATCTTAGTAATTATTATCTCCTAGTCCATAAGAACTATGAAAAACTAGCTAACAAATTAAAAGAATAACAAAGCTTCATTATGTAAGTATAATGAAGCATGAATATGTAAAAACCCTTTCTCTCAGAACACAGTATATTCCATGATTGAATAAATGTGTATCCTACTTATTCACTACTTAAATACGATCACAATCCACCGAGTACATGAGCTAAGAAACGATACAGGTAGCGCCATCTATTAGAAAGCTTATGAAACTCAAGTATGAACGTAACGCTTCTATACAGTTTTCCCTGTATTATGTATTACTTGTAAGAGGTCGCTACGTTAAATTATGAGGCACATATTATTTAATGTTATGTTGTGTTTGGTTTTTGTACATATTCCAACCTAGATTTAGAAATATAGGTTTCTTTGTAACACCTGCTAGTAACTGCAGTTTTTGGTTTTCTCATAAACAATAACTTTTTGGTAGCAAGTTGATTATCGGTATATGCCAGAAGCCAATTTAACTATAGTTTCCAAGTTATAATTAGATCCGAGCTAAGAAGCGAAAGGCTAGAGAGATTTATGATTTGAATGAAACTGTTTTGTAGAGTATCATATAGAAGGAATTTTTAAATGAATAACCTTATGTGTAATCGTAAACTTACTGCAAGAATTGAATTCTACTGAATGGTAGATTACCTAATGGGGTTTTGTGAAACACTAAAGTCTAATCTCACAAAAGTTATTGGGATCATAAAAACTGATATTTAATAGACTCTACATAGCCTTAAGTTTAATTGTGCTGAATTTAGTACTGACTTATAACACGAGTTTTTATAATTTAGTTCGACGAATCAGAAGAAATATTAATTTGAACATTTTGTCGATTATGTTTTTTTTAAGTATTCAACTGCCTAGATGTTTAAATTTAAAGAAAAATTTACTAGAAAAAAATCCACGCGGACGAGGCAGCACACAGCGGCCATCAGGCCATCATCATAATGGTCAGTACATTTGCCCGGATAGCTAAGTGTGCGGGTTCGAGTCCCGTCTGCTGCCTGGTCCGCGTGGATTTTTTTCTAGTAAAATTTTCTTTAAATTTAACCCATTAACCGCCAAAATTAAAACAGGAAAGTTATTTAAGTAAAATGTTTATTTAACTATTGTTTACATATTAAATTAGTAAAAAATATTTAAATTATTACTAGGCCCCCTTTGGAGGGGGTGTACTCAATTAAGCTATTAATCGCTTGGGATAAATCGAACTTCTCTTAGGGATCAATTTTAAGAATTAGGTAGAATTACTGTTGCCTCTCAATACATTTACAATTGTATATTGTTTGTGCGTTCTGACGCATAAATTAGTTGTATGACATAAATTTATATACGAGGCGCGATGATGTACATAATTTCAATACCAGAAATAAAGATAAACTCAAATTGCCACCCTTGAGACTCCAAAAGGTTCTTGGTTCATTTGTGGGTCAAGGTATATGTTACTATAATAAAATACAAAGAAAAAAATATTTCACCTTTTAATAAGTTTAAAGTGTGTATAAAAACATGTCTCCTTAAGAAAGTTTACTATACTTTTAAGATTTCAAAAATGATAGGTCACCTTGGGCTTCATATAATTGACTTAGTCGTTTTACTTTGCTAATTTGGTTGAAAATTGTTTCGAATCGCCACTTCTAAATTTAAAAATAGTACCTACCTAGCTATACTTAACTTTTGTTAATTAATAATATTAATGTGATGAAAGTTGACATCAACACAATGACATGTTTTCAATTTTTGATGTCATCTTTCAATTGACGGCACTGTATGAAACAAAACAGGGAGAAAAAATAGCCCTTGCTGAGTTTCTTGTCGGTTCTTCTCAGAACAAGGTCTCCCGTCGTAGATTTACGAACCGATATTAAATATTTTTGAGTTTTGGCAACACCATGTTG